AAAATAATAAAAAAATTAAAAAACAGCCGACAAAAGTTTTAAAAGTAGAGCTATAAAGTTTGTGGGGAGACGGTCGTCTGCCGTCTCCCCACAAACTTTTTAGAATAAATTAAAAAATAATAATAATATTAAATTAATTATATACTTCAGAAACGTAAGTCAAATACTGAATTCTTATCCGTCTGTAATAGAAGTAAAAAAGAAAAAAAAAGAAGAAAAAATTTATATAGGGAAGCAGAGGAAAAATCGATATCGGAATCGGAACTGCAGTCTCCTCTATATATACGTCTTGCCATCTCTGTTAAGCTCGGTAATAGAAAGATGACGAAAACTTGGTCTAAGACGAAATTGAAAATGATTTTTGGATGGATTGTTATCCTTTACGTTTTATGCTATCGTCCAGTTTTGGGATGGACCACATTCGATCATCCTAAGATGCACAGTTGGGATTTCGAATTCGATGAAGCTGAGGAAGAGAAGGTAATGGTGCCTAATACAGCATTTGGGGGGTCAACAACTGATAAATTTCCTTTAATTTCGTTATTTTTTATAAACATTTATATAGTTTTGTTGCTTATAAGTATACTATAATTAAATCTTTGCAAGTTTTAAAGTTTTTTTCTTTGAGGATTTTTCAATGTTATAAGATTATACATGTAGATTATAAGATGATGTAGAGAAGATTATATATGCATGATGTTATTCTAGCTTATAAATATGTTATGATCTTGTGAGTGAGTTGTTATGCAATTATCCAAATGTTTGTAAATATTTCCGATGGCCCAATTTTGCATTTTAAATTTGTATTGGACTCGAAAGTGGATGACGTTCTTTTGCCTTACGGGATGTTTGTCCTTTAATTTCGTATACTTAAACTTTAATACTTCGTCCGGTTAAATTTTATACCAAGTTGACTTTGAAAAGGCTTTGGCTTTCTGCATTTATATTGATATTTGATTATTAAGTAGATAAAACTTAGATAAATAGATTATTATCAGAAAAATATTTACAAGAAGTTGTCATTAAATTTGTTTATGGTATACTACTATGTGATTTGACATGTTTAACATGGTAAGTTATAAATTGAATTTATATGCAAGAGGAAACTTCTGAAATTTACATTGATGAGCTCTTAAAAGATGTTTTAATGCTGTTCGGAGTTTAGATTATGTGATTAAAAGGGTTAATAGCTCTCAATTTAGCACATGGTTAAACAATGAATATATTCATTATATAATTTTTTTATTACATTATAGAAAGGCTTGTTTCCAATAACTCCATTACATTTCTATTATTCTCCTGCATATAAATTTGGAAGGAAACTGGAGTTATTGTCTTCTTATATGCAAGGTGTACGAAACTGTTTTAAATCTTGAAATATTGTATGATATTACAAGAAAATTAAGCATATTCTTCTAATAATGAAATAATATGTAATATTTTACACAGTGCTTCTTAGTCTTTATATAATGAATTACTAAGTAAAAGTTTTATTGGCAATAATTACCATCTACTTAATGTTATAATTAAAACTTAATTTTATATAGAAGTGTAACTTTGATCTAGTTCAAAATTTTGCTTTTATTATACAGTAGCTTTAATAATGTAGAATTTTGATATAGCAAGTTAATTAATTTTTTTAAAATTGCGTTGCAGAGTTTTTAAATATGATTTTAATAATAATCTTCAATTAAAGAATCCATTTGTAAATTTTCTCATTAAGTAAACTAATTTTTAATTCCATTCCATTAAAGATCGTCAACCCTATTTAGATGGAAATATCTTATTAGAAAGGAAATTGGAAAATTTTTATTTTCTAAAATTTAATTAGTTTTGTTGTATAGGGTAGTGACCTGGTGATCTAGTCAAATATATGGATGAAATTGTCAGATAAATGAAATATTTAATTAAAAAATATATTGTTTTCTTCTACTAAAAAAAATGTTTTCTTTAAGATTGTGAACAATAAGTTTTGTCAGATCAGATTACCATAATTAAATTTTTATGATTTTTTGTGATATATAATGCAATTGATAGAATTCAAAAATAAAAAGAATTATTTGCTTTTTTCAAATTTTAAGGAAACTAATGAATCAACTGAATCATTCAATGGTTAAATGAAATAAAGACAAAGTTTAAAGTACTTTCTGTTATGTTTCAATTCTATGTCGAAGAAGTAAGAACAGAAAAAAAAAGAGATTGAAAGGTTGGATTGTTGCCAATAATTTGTCTTTAGACTGTCTAAAATGGCTTAAAAAGAGACATTTACACAGGATTGAAATTTTAAATCTAAAATCATATCCAATTTAATGGTTTTCAAATAGATTTTTTTTAATTTAGAGAAAACTGCTGGTTATATTCTTATCTAGTTTGGCTGACTTAATCGTTAACTGCAGAAATATTCATGTTTACAGCCTTAGTAATCGTTAATTTTAAGTACTTTGTTTTCTGGAGTATTTATGAATATTATTACTGTATAGATATTTGAATATTCCATTTGATATCTCATTACTCTGCTTAATTTCAATTCAGAATTCCTCACAGGCAACATTTGTTTTTGGATAATTTTCTTACACATTCCATCCATATTATTTATTCTTTACTTTGCATTAAAAATATATTTCATGAAAATCTTTCTTAATTAAATTAAAAATCATGCAAATTGTGATGACTCTTTTCTGCATATCAATATTGATTTTTCAATTAAGAAAGAAAAATAAAATATTCTGTGAAGATTAAATAAAGTTAATAGTAATGACATCCATTAAATCTTTAACGGGTTTTCTGATATAAGAAGCATTTTTTTCCCCTCTTCTTCTTTTATTAGAAAGTAAAAAATTTTGCAATTGAATATTAATGATTTTGTTCTTTTCATTATTTATATTTTTAGATTTTTCATTTATAATAATGTATTATTATTGAGAAATTTCTTTTAATAAAAATTTCAAAGAATGTTGAACTTCATATATTTGATATGTAGTTTTTACTGCTTTTTAAAAAATAACGATTGTAAAATTATTCAATATAAACTGCTTAAATTTCTTAGATAGCAATTGATGCACCATTCAAAGCAGTAGCTGGCAGTATAAGGCAACTTCTTACTGTCATAACTGATGAGGAAACCATTAATAATATAAATTCCACCAAGTAAAATAGAATAGTAATGGGTTATGTATAAAACATCTTCATAAATGCAATGTTTGAATTATGGATGATGTACTAAGACTCCATTTGTTATTTTTATTATTTCTCATTTTACAACAGTACATTTAGAACAATATATTTCATAGATTAAATATACAAATTTTGTAATTAGTTTTAATGATCATCTATTTCATTTTTAATGTAGATAGATTTATACAATTTATTTTCATTTTATTAATTCAGTTGTTTATCTGATAGGAAAATGTAGATGTGAGCAAAAGCACAAAAGTTTCAGAAGTTTGGACAGAAAGTGAGTATTTTCAAATGTTTTTATTAATTTCTTTAAAACTTTTGCTAGATGTCAGTCACAAGTGTATATAAAATGCACATTTTAAATTTTAATAATGTTCTTTGTATATAATACTTATAAAAACTATAAAATTTTAAAAATATATGTTTATTTTTTGCTATAGTTTTTAAATATAAATTTTATTAAAAAATTATTATATAAATAACTTTGTAACCATAAATAAATATTAATATTTATTTGATTATTTAAGTTGATTTTTATAAAAAGTATTTTATATGGAAGCCAAAAACTTGATAATCTTTTAAAGTAAAAGATTTATTTTCCTTCAATTCAAATAATCAATTTTCTGTGTTTAAAGAAATGACAAAAGTAAAAAAATATTTGCTTTCAGTGGAGTCATTTCTTGACTGAGCATTTAAAATTTAAGATTGAGATATTTTGATATGAAAGGTATTTGTATAGTTAGAAAGAATGCCATTTGCCATTATTGTTATTTTAAGTGACAAATTAATTATTTTTTAAATGTATTAATAAAAAATTTTTGCTAATTAACACAAATGAATCATTTTTGTTTGTTTAATATCAGATTTTTTTTTATTAGTCTAATGAAGATTAAATTATATTATTATAATTTAAT